AGTAGTATGGCCAGGAGCCCCTAGTAGCGTCCTTGCTCCTAGTAGTAAGGCCAGGAGCCCCTAGTAGCGTCCTTGCTCCTAGTAGTATGGCCAGGAGCCCTTAGTAGCGTCCTTGCTCCTAGTAGTATGGCCAGGAGCCCCTAGTAGAGGGCGGAAAGATCATCAACGGCTTTGCACAAACCCTGGACCTGTCGAGGTGACAGCTGCCCAGCGTGCCCCAGATCGAGCAGCAAGTCCTGGTGTTGGCACTACGAATCTTTCAAGTGCATTTGACCAGTCTGAGCACATCCGACTGAAATGTGCTTTCTCTGTTTTTCAGCGCTGTTCTGCACGTTCCCTTTCACGTTCTAAAGCGGGGCCTCGCTGCAGGTTTTTCTGCAGATCAGCCAAAGGATCGCTCCGACGGAAGGCATCTGTTGCAATGGCCAAGTCCATCAAGGTACTGCCTTCGCCAGGCTTCTTCCCAGTCATGAGGTCTTGCACATAAGATTCGCGAGGCGCTTCTGCAGGGTGATTTTGGAGGAAATCTTGGAACCATCCAATGGCCTTGTCAGGCCAACCACGAACTTCCCGAATCCATCCAAAGTCACGGGCATACCTGGTACAGTTGTAAACATCACCATCAACAAAGCCGAGTGCCAAGTTCTTCCCAGAAGCTTCATCAGCCAAAATGTTTAATCGATCGCAACCATCACGCCAGTACGTCTCTGCAACCTCCGCCTCCCCCTTGTGCCAAGCAAGGGCCACCATTGCCAAGCGCGCATCAGAATCCGCCTGGACGACCTGCTGCAAGAGGCCCATGTCACGGCTCATGAGACCCACTGAGCGGCGGATCACTCCAGTGAAGGCTTCTTCTGCTTTGGAGAGATCCTCTGTCCCCATCAACGCCACCGCACTGCGCTCGGCCTCGATCTCGGCCTCCGGCCGCCGGCCAGCGCTGCGTAGCAGCTCCGCCGCAGCGTCGAAGTCCTCCGCCGCGGCCGAGGGCTGCCCCAAGCCCACCTTGGCCTGCGCTCTGCCCGAGAGCAGTTCGAAATCGGGCTCTCCGAAGAGGTCAGCTGCTTGATCATAATCCTGGAGTGCCTCTGCCCACCGTTGCAAGGACCTGAGAGCCCCTCCCCGAGCAACCAAGACCTTGGGCATCTCATCGTATTGGACCAAAGGATCCGACGCCGCTTGACGGCAAAGCTTGAGCGCTTCGTCCAGATCCACCAGGGCTTCCTGCGCTCGTCCTGCTCGAAGCCGCACATAAGCACGGCGTCTGAGGATAGCTGGGAGCTCGTTGGGAGCGACCGAGAAGCTTCGCCAGCGCCAGAGCAACTCATTGAGCTCCTCCTCAGCGTTGCTCAATGCAGCCTTCGAAGGGAAATCGCCAATCCTGCGTACAGAGGAAAGAGCATTTTGCATCAACGCCACATCTTCTTCGCTTGGCCCAGCGCCTGCTGCCCATACTGGGCGTGCCAAAAGCAACGGAACAGGGGCAAGTAGCCGGCGTGGCACCACCCAGCAGAGACCAGAGCCCACTAAAGCCAAAAGCCAAAGGCCGCGTCGAACCATGTGAGAGGCGGAAACGGACAATATGGAAGATGTATGTATAAATTTGCAGTGCATAATATGTCATGAGACGCCCTACTGTGATACAGTCTTTCGTCTGTTTGTCGTGAGTGTGATCTGCAGGAAGTGTTATGCTTTTTCAGAAAGCTCACTCTTTTTGATGAGAAGTCACCAGTTTTGTCCTTTGAAGTGTGCTGTGTGATTGCACAGTGGCCGTATTTCGATGCACCCAAATTCCTTGATCTGAGCTGCACACGAAGGATCATGTGCTTTGGGGCGCAGGTCAGCCTGGTCAGAAGCCACAGCTCAGTGATCGAGAACTGCTTCTCCCCACATGGATGATACTGTAAAGGTTTCCATGTGTGAGGTATTCTCAACTTATCTTGCAAACATGCAGGCGGTACCTCCTAAAGCAGCGAATGCGTGGAGCTTGAGCAGCAGACAGTTGCATCAAACAGTGAGACTCTGATTGAAATGTTCTTAGGTCGAGGAAAGCTGAGAATCGACTCTACAACCGCCACCGATGCCTTCTGTCCTTTCCCGGATTCCGGCCCGAGGATAAGGGAATGTCTGGTCCTATGTCGCAAATCTTCTTCAACAGTGCAGACCAAGAGGTAACATGCTGGGGATGGGTTGGAACAAGCATCCAATCCTCAGCGTCCACCACGTTGGTCCAGGACGAAACATGCAACTCTCGATCGATTGCCTCTCTTCTCCAATCAGACACAGAAGCATCCGAGAACCCTTCCAAAGCACAGCTGGACAGCTGCGACAATTCCAGAGCAGGAAAAGCAAAGACTTGCTCTCCACATTCCCAGCTGATTTGGCTCGAAATGTCCGGGGATTGCCACACATGTCCTTCAAGCCAACAAAACAACCGGGCCAAAAAGCCCCTGGCCAAAGCATTCTTGCTTGATGGGCGGAACTTGACAGTCACCTTCGCCTTATCTCGCGCCAACGCCAATTGCGCAACCTTCCGAAGAAGCTGCAGTTCAACTCCTCGGTGCAGCACTCGGCAACTCATGGCCAGGCAGTCCACAACTACAGAGTCTTCCTCCAGAGAGCAAAACACACCAGCCACCAAGCCATAGTCCCCAAATTTGTCTTTCACCTGCGCGGCAAAAACACTTCGAAGCTCATTGTTGCACCACATACTTATTTCAAGTTCACTCAAGCGCAGCTGGGTAGTGTTGAATTGGTTTGTTTTTGCACACAGCTGACACAGTCGCGATACGTATCGATACGCGTCGTTCTGGTTTGGCTCGTGGATCACAACTTCCACTTCCAAGGAGTCCAGAAAGTCGGTCAAGCTTCTGTGGCGCTCTCTCTCAGCACGCCGCGCTGCATTCTGTCGGTACAATTCAGTCCTGTCCTGGTCTTCTTTGGTTGGAGTGCCTTGAAAGGCATCCAGCAACCAACAGTGTTGAACCAGGCGATCAAATTCAGCATGGTCCGCGGGAATGTGGACCGTGATAACATCAGGCAAGCTCTGGCGAACATCTTCAACTTCAAAACAGTTGTCGTCCAAGAAAACAAAGGAGTCCAAAGTAAGGCTCAGTAGAGTTGAGAGTCTTTGAAGGGATTGCGGCTTCGGCCCTGGATGCACTTCGTACGCGACTATTTGCTCCAGTTGTAACGGGCACTCCTTCTTTCGATCTACAAAAACCTGTAGAACTTCTGTAGCAGATGCATTTCTTGAAGCAATGCAAATCAAACGTCCAGCTTTCTGCAAAGCTGCCAGTCTTCTCTGGAGCCCAACATGTGGAGCAGCTAGCTTCACCCCTTGCACACCATCTTCAGCGACAACCCCCTCCCAAAGAGTGTGATCACAATCGGCCACAAAAACCTTCAGCCTGTTGCTCAAAAGCGCAGCAGTGCGGTGACGAATAATTAATGCACAGGCTGCCGCCAGCGGCTCAGAAGTTGCACATGGATACAACTCAACAAGGGCCGGCCAGTTGATGAATTCACAAAGGTTTATATTTTGTAAGCCTTCCTTCAAAATATCCGATGCCTGCCTCTCGTCGCAGCTTCGGCACTCTTTGATCTGAAGAAACATCAAGACATGCCCTGCTGAGCATGCAGACTTTGCAGCATTAATAACGTCAAAAACCTCCTTTGCAGGGTTTGCACTGCTTAAGCAAGCGCGGCACAAGTCTTGAGGTTGCCAGAGAACAACACCAATCGGCACACGCCTGAGAAAGTGTCTTTTGCCCTGGAGCAATTTGCAGATTTCTGAGGTGCCATTCTTCTCGCTGAAACGAAAATTTAAGTGCACGTTTGCTTCATCGAACACTGTTTGCCATTGGGAAATGAGCTCTGCGAGCTGAACCTCCAAACTGGCAAAGGTTCCTACAACGGCTACTGCAATCTCCTCCTTCGCCGAAGCCGGACGTGATGGATGTCCACGGCTTTCGCGCACGCTTGCGAAGCGCTCAGAGCCATTCCCGTCAGAGTATTCCAACTGCCCAACTTGCACTAGGTTCTGAGCCACAGGCCTTGGTACCCATGCAAAGCCAAAGCCCAAGCCTACACCAGAGGACGACGAGCCTTTCGTGTGAAAGCGAAAGCAAACATCTTTGGGACAAATGTCAAGCACTCCAAGGTCTACACTGACTTTCGCAATTGCAACAGCCAGTTCCTTCTCTGCTTCTTTCAGCTGGTCTGGATCATGGGGCAAATTCCCCAACCAAATAGGGATGAAGGAAGCGTCGTTTGCCGTGAAAGCCATACCACTCTGCACTCTATGCACTCAACTGCACTGAGCTCCAGTCACAACGGATTGATCATTCCCAAGACAAGCCTCTTGACAAAATGTGGGTTTGGTGACAAGGCGGCCCATCTTTTTGAACCTTGAAGTCAAAAATGCTGCAATGCTGCTTTTGAATATTTACAGCAATTCGTTGCTTCAAGCCAAGCAATACCAGAAAGAAACGCATGTGCCAATGCTGCCAATAGGGAGGAATGCAATCTGTCTTTCTTTCTGAAACAATTCAGGTCTAGGGCGCCCTCTCAGGAGGGCCAACATTGGACTCTGCTGAGGGAGGGCTTTTCCCAAGTCATTTCGGCTGATCACCTTCTTGGTCTCCGACCAGCAGCACAGCTCCAGAAATACCCTTGACATCCATCAGGCAATCATGGGCTTTTCCTCCCATGCCACCTCTAACGTTTTTGCTGACAGCTCATCTTCTTTCGAGTAGTGACCACCAGGTACTCCTGAGACACCCCACGCTCAGAATGCTTGTATGCAGAAGGTCGCTTCATGATACAAAGATTCTAAAACGCACTCTGCGCTCCTACAGGAGGATAGTCAAGGTATCTTTCCAGAGCAATCACAACCGGCTGAAGGACATCTGCATAAAGTACCTGCTTGGTTGCAGACTGGAGGAACACACGCAACGCTATTGATTCATGTACAGTACAGTATATCAAGTTCCAGCACAAGCATCCCATGTAAGGTTCTTCAAAGCCATCTTGCTGACCTTGGCCCGCTCGCATTGCTGCCTCATGAAGCGGCTCATGCCTGGGGAAGCCAAGGTGTAAATGATCAAACCTCAGTGCAATTGAAGCAACCAAACTCCGCAATAAATGAGCTGCGTCTAGGGTGCAACCAACTTCACAGCTTGCATCAAGGAACTCCTCCGTTTCAAAGCTTCTTGGACGATATGGTCAATCTCCTTGCAGGTGCAAACGGTTTGCTAGACATAGTCAACAAACTTAGCGCTCATGTTCATCCCGCATTCGTGCAGGTCCAAGCGGAAATATCCATGAAGAATAAGTTTGGACCCTGTGGCCTGCAAGGACTTTATCCCAGGGCAACAGGTGATGCCAGTCAGCTTTACATTGGGGAACTGCTTGAAAGCCTGCCAGGCAGCATAATTTCAAGAATCAGTGCTCAACAATGAATCTGTGAAATGAAAAATCGAAAGCTTCTAGACTTCTAGCAAAGTTGTAGGGAACTGTTGTTGTCTCATGATTCAGGGTCAAATATCAATCGTATGGACTCAAATAGAGCTATCCTGCGAGCGGAGGTTGCGACTACAAAAGGAAAACAACCCCCTTTATCTGCGCCTTGCATGCTATCCGATATGAAGCCTCTGCTGAGGTATCGGACACTGCAAAGATGGTTTCACATGGCTCATCAGGCACATCTTCAGAGCCTCATCTGTGCCATGTTCTTGCTTTGAACTACGACATATTCAAACCAAAGAATGCAAAAGAAAGCGTCCCCCTTTTCAATGTCTTCAGCCTGACATGCCGCATTGCTGTCGTTTACACCCGCTTCGGCATTGTTTCTCTCAATTGCAGCCGGGGTGCCTCGAGGCAGCTGCAAACGCTGCTCGATGGCCAAGATCGCCTCCGAGTGATTCAAACTTACTAATCACCTTTAAAGCAGGCAATTTTGAAGCAAAAGGTTTGAAAATTATGTGTATGTATATATATATATATTGTATTCAAAAAGGACACCAAAGCAGTCCAAGATGCACTTTCCATGAAGTTGATACAAGGAACCTCAAAGACATATTCAGGACAACAGCCCAGCATTCTCCTACTTCATTGTCCAATTCTGACTCAGCATTTCTTGCGAGCTTGAATAGTTGCAGTTTCTGGATCCATAACCTTTGCTATCATGAATCAAGAAGTGGTGTGTGAATATGCAGCCGTGCTACACCTTGTCGTCCACATTCAGACACCAAGAAATTTGCCAAGGAAATGTTCGCTAGTGAGAAGACCACCATGGCTCCTGCCTGCCTGGAAGAACTATGATCGGAAATAGGAATGAGTGGACACACAGTACTGATTATTGTTTCTTTTTGTCTTAACTCTGTTCACCAAGTCATGTTTCCATTGAGAAGAGCCTTGCAACAACACTGAGTTTGATCTCCAAGCTGCTCAATGGCCAGCGACTCCTCGGGAGCCAATGTGGCTGCCTGCAATTGTCAGTTCAAAGACTTCACTCAAGTCAGTGCAAAGACATCACGATACGATCCTTGAATTGTCAGTTATAGTGTTTAGAAATTCAACCAACTTAAATCGCAGTTGACAAGGTGCCTTGTCAACCGCTGCCTTCACGTCTTCTTCTGTCTTGACCCCGTCCACCACCTCAACAATGGACCTTGTTATGTCACCTTGGAGTCGTGGCAACGGCGATGGCCAAGCAAATACTCACAAAAACTGCATTGATTCACTTGAACCACTTGCTGTTGGCTTCTTGCAAGTGAGAAACCGAACTGTCTAAAGCCCATCCTGATTGATCATAGACAATCAAGCGAGCAGCATTCAAAAGAGCACAGCGCGGCCTCGCCACCAAGTTGGCAACCACTCCAGGCCCATCGGAGATTGCAAAGATCGGCTTTGGGGTGACGTCCTTCCACGTAGAAAGGATTTCCCAACAGAGCAAAACTCTGCTAAATGTCCAGAATGCTGCTTCCTCTGACCACGGTGCAACGGCTATCGTGCGTGTAGCGGCAAAAATCCTCGGATCAATAACTGCACCGCTGCAGCCGCTACAAAAATAATCCAAAGAATTCTGCTGTAGTCCTCTTTTTTACAGAAAGAAATTCAAATTGTTTCACCTGAATGTTCCCACTCAAAGCATCAAAATACGCAGCAGCAACATCCGTTGCTCTGCCAAGGCACTTCGCATCCTTCAGCGTTGCTCCAGGTGCCTGGTCCAGGTGGCAGGTAAGTGAAGCAAAACAACAAAAACCAACGAGGCTCTCAACTCACACACACACACAGTGATGATCAGTCCTCCATAGGTCATGGAAACTAAGTCTTGCACAAATGAATTGATCCTCAGCTCGTGGGCCGCAACTTAATTTTGCCCTCATACTGTAAGAAGGCATTCAAGTCCAAGACCCTTCATTCATAAGAATAGAATTTGTCATGTGGATGTCTGCATATCTATATATATATATACTGTATCTATATATATATTAGGTAAAAGTCATCCGGTCAGCCATCATACTGAAAACAAACAATTACCTCATGAAATTGTATGAAATGTATTCAACCATATTCAAGCCAAAACTCTGACCTGGCGGCGGCCCTCTAATGTTCTCCCACAAATCATCATCTTCTGCTTCCTGCCATGCCTGGAGCAAATGCTCGTACACCGAACTAAGTGGAGCAAGTTTAGTCCAGCCCCCAGCGCCTTCTTCTCAGCACTTGCCTGCAAACGCTTACAATGCAGTTTCACTTTCACCTCTGTTTGGCGTTCGTGCCTGGAGACCGTGCAGTCTGCGGGAACTTCGGAACTGCCTTCCTGTCAAGACCAAATCCCTTAAGTCTCAGCAACAAGCAATTCAAAAGCGTGGTGACCTGGTTGACGATTCCAATTTGCACGCTTTGCCACCCCAACAGCCAACAATGCTTTGGCGGAGACTGAAGCAACCTGTCACTGACACCAAGGCATGGTGTAATACATTTGATCTCAGAAAACATGACTCAAAAAATTCGTTCCTTGCCACTTGAAAACACATCAAGCCTTCAACTGTCTGTCACATGCCCGCAGCCGGTTTGGCGCCTAAGCTCGGAATGTGAAACTGCCCAGGACCATGATGCAAGTTGAGCCCAGGACCGTGAAATAGACCCCACCGCTTTCTGGAAAATGGCTTCTCAATCTGAATGAAAGTCAAGATTTGATCGATTCCAAAAAAGTGCTCTCGCATCCGGGTCTGTTTTTTTTTTGAACAAGTGTTTCGTCATTCAAAACAAATGTCACTTTGGGGTGTTCCTTCCCCACGTTACGAAAAAATATAAAAACTCGAAGGACCTTTCTCCATGCAATATTCGCACCTTGCAAGCCCAGCAAACGCAGTGACTGTCGCCATGGTTGTAAAGGACCACGTATTACCAATTTTGCTTGCAAATTGTTCAACAACCGGCTCTTGAAAAGCAAGGTCAAAGTGCACGAGGTATGGTTGAAATGAATTGCCTAGACTGACTCAGCTAACAAATTCAGGTTAGAAACAAAATTTATCTCCAAGAAGTGCAACCGTCCAAAGGTACTATTGGCTTGCCGTTGCGGAGCAAGCAGCACGGCATGGTCTGACTAATACCAAGACCCTGACAAAGAAATCATTTCACAAACATAACCTAATTGTTGAAAGTTTTCCGTCTGCAAGATGTGTTGGAGTGCGATGGACCGAAGGAATGTTTGACAACCACAAAAATTGATCACTCAAGGCTGCAGTTCCACAACTGCTCAGTTGACTGACCAAAACAAACAATGATCCAAATCAACCGAACAAGTGGCTGAACTGGTAGTTGTTTTGAATCATTGGCTTCGTTTATTAAAAAACGAAATGCATCGTTTTGCAAGAACATAGAACGGATACGAAATCAAAAATGGAACCATAGTCCCAAAAGCGGTGAGCGCACTGTTCGCTCTATTTGAGCCTCTGGCAGTATCTGTGCAATTCTCGGTTTGTACAATGACACATGCACTTCTCTCTCTCTCTCTCATCTATACATGTGCGTGTCATCCTTGTGCAGGATGGTCATGTTACGTTTCACAACCTGCCTTAAGAATCCTTCGAATCATGGATCGTTACTTCTAACATTCTGAATTCTCAGTTCGTGAAACACTCTCATGAGATCGTCACATTGGTGGACAGTTGCACTGATTACACCATCTTAATAATGTTCGTGTGCAGTGCCCTCATTCTCGTCTTCTTGTGGTGTTGGACTTGAACTGGCTGCACTCGGCTGTGACACAAGAACAGC